AGAAAAAGGTAAAGATACAAATTATGAACAACAAATATGCATCTATCAACAAGTGAATCTAAGAATCAAGTGAATAAATAATCTGATGAACAGAATGAACTGGTGATTATAATAGAATCAGGGACATAGAAAGGGAATGGACTCACTATTCTTGGGGGGGGGGGAAGGGGTGTGAGAGATGCGGGAAGAGACTGGACAAAAATCGTGCACCTATGGATGAGGACAGTGGGTGGGGAGTGAGGGCGGAGAGTGGGGTGGGAACTGGAAGGAGGGGAGATATGGGGGGAAAAAAGAGGAACAAATGTAATAATATGAACAATAAAGATTTAATTATAAAAAAAAAATCACTGCAGGAGACGCTGCAGCCACACTATGGAAAGCTCGGAAAGGACAAAAACTGCCTTGGTCTCCCCACTTGCACATTGCATTTTCACGTCCCCGAGAAAGCACAGAGAGAGCCCAGCGGGAGTTCTGGCACATAGTAGATGCTCACTAAATGTTTTTATTTTCTAAATCTCAGCTTGAGAGGCAGTTAGAAAGGACACAGGCTTGGAGACAGACAGACCTGGTTTAATTCCGGTTTTGTCATATCTTAGCTGTGTCATCTTGAGGTACATGCTTAATGTCTCTGGGTCCCCCCAACCAGACCTAGAAAACCGGTAAGAGTCATCGGCATGCTGCAAGATTGCTGAGAAAAAAGGAGGCCCACTCGTCAGATACTCAGTATGTGGCACATAGTAGGTGCTCACTAAACACTCGGTCTCTTTTTAAAATCACCTTATTAGAGAAAAGGTTTTTTTCCCCGGGTCAGAGATGCCTACTGTGGGCCTGGGGAATACGTCCTGAACGGTTTCTCCCAGAGGGCCAGCGACCGTGGCCAGGAAAGGCCTCTTGCAAACCCTGGGGTTGCTTTCCCTTGATGTCCAAGGACACAGGCCTATTTTAAAGCCATCCCAGCAGCGTCCCAAATGTGCACTGGGCCACCTCCTGAATGGATCCCGCTCCTCGCCCCAGCCCAGCCCAGCCCAGCCCGGCCTTCCTTTGCTCCAAAAAGAGCCGGGAAATGGCGTTTACCGCCCGAGCGGGGCAGGCAGGAAGCCACAGCTCCTGCTCCTCTGGCCGCCAAGATGACAGCTTCCAGCGCGTTGGCATTCGAGCAGATGGCATTCGACTGAAATTTTCAGCAGATTCTGCTCCACAGGGGGCGAGAGCTGCCAGGGAGCCCAGTCTAATCTGCACCCTCCCGCACCCAGCCGTGGACAGAGCCCTGATCACCCAGGCACGGGCCTCGTGTGCTGGGTGCAGTCTTCAGGACAACCCTTCAGGGTGGGTTTATCCCCTTCATTTTCCAGATGAAGAAACTAAGGCTCTGAGAGCAGCAACACTGGGCAGGTGCGCCCTCCTCCCAGGCAGCCCCGTGGGGGCCCCGTCACAGGCCTTGAAAGCTGTGCAGGCCTCTTTCCCGGAAACGTACCCACAATCCAAGCACCATTTGACATGGGGCCTCCGGGACCTGCCTGACATCCCGCGTCAGCCTGTGGAGCGCAGGAGAGAAGGCTGTGATCCAAGCGACATGTGCCCAAGTCCGCCATGCCAACCAACAGCGTGGGCGGTAGGAAGCCACATGGTGCGTGCGTGCGCATGTGTGTGTATGCGTGTGCGTGCATATGTGTGCGTGTGCGTGTGTGGTGGCATGTGCATTGGAGAGAAAAGGCGAGGCTGGTCCTGGGCAGGGCTCCCCACCGCCCGAAGCAGGGCAAGGATGTGGGTCCCCGTTGGCCCCGAGCGCGCCTCTCCCATTGGACGTGGGCTAGAACAAGAATAACCCACGCTCCTCACCCTGCCAAGTGGGGCAGCGGCATGTGCCCAGGGGCCATCGCCAGCTTAATGGGACTTTGTTCTCTGCCTCAGAGGCCTGGTCAGCCAGCACCCCGAGTGGAAAGGGGCCAGCCCGCGCTGGAAACTGCCACCCGCTCCCCTCCCCTCCCTTTTGCAAACAAAACCCTCAGTGCGGTCACCTCAGTGCAGCCAGTGACACTCCTGTCGGCCGCGGGGAGGCCGGGCAGGAGGCCAGAGGTCACCGACGCTGCTGCTGGGAGAAGCCGGCTCCTTCCAGGCCAGGCCGGCAGCCTTTCCGCTCAAGTGGGCTGGATGCACGAGTTCCCAGGGCGTGAGGTCATCCCACACCCCCTCAAAGAGTGCTCAGTGGCACCGGGATTCCCAAGCCTGTCCGACCCCCTGCTGGGCCCCTCCTGATAACCAGGCCCAGGAAACTCCAACCTCAGAGTCAGGGATGCGGGGGGAGGGGGCTGGGAACATGCCCTCATTCTTTCCCGAGTACATCACTTCCTCCTTCAGCTGACATTTAGGAAACATCCACTCCGTACTAGGGCCTGTGCTAGCTGCAGGGACATGGGTCCCGCTGAGCCACACATAGTCCCCACCCCCACCGCCAGGGACAGTACAGACACAGGCCGCACAGGGTCGTCAGCACGAAGGACAGGGGCCCAGGGGACACTTCTCAGAGAGCTACCCTGCGGAGAGGAGAAGTGACTGGGACGATGACAAAAGATGGGGAAGCATGTTCGGGCAGAGGGAACAGCACCAAGGCCAGGACGTGAGGACAAGCTGAGGGCATTTGGGGAACTGCAAGGCCTTCAGGGCAGAAGGGAAAGGGGAGAGTGGACAGGGAGTCAGGGGTCGCATAACAAAAGATCTCAGAGGCAAGGCAAAAGAGGTGAGGCGCCTCAAGAAGGCTCTGAGGGCCACTGACGTGTTTGGAGCAGGAGAGGAACCCCGAGAACCCACCTGTCTGAAGAATGAGATTAAGCCCCGCATCTTCCCATAGAAACTGTTCCTTCCTTCTCCCCTATCAAAACGACCCCGCACAGTGGGAGACACACGCTCCAGGTTTAAAGGGCTGGCCCCGCCCTGCCCCTCAGCACCAGTTTCTCCTCCGGGCAGCCCCAGCCAGGGGCAGCTGCCTGCGGAGTCTGCCAGCTTTCTCCTTCTCTTTGCCTTGAGGGGAGCCACTCCCCGGGCTGGGTGGTGCCCAGAAGCCTGGCTGCTCACTGACCTCGGCCCCCGGGGAGCACCCGCAGGCCCTGTCCAGACCCTGGCACAATAGAGCCACACCCCTGCTTTCCAGGGTCAGAGGCAAGGCTGCTCTGCACACCCCTGCACTCACTCCGGGAGCCCAGGAAATGTTCCGCAGGCCCCACCGCCAGGCAGTGTCTGCCAGCCCCGGGGGCGGGAGCCCACCTCTGTGGCCCTGGCAGTGTGTGCCAGGGGCTCGCCCGCAGCCATTCGCCACCCCTGCCAGGACGCTTCCAGATGAGGAGCCCAAGGCCCCGAGAGGCGGGTGTCCTGCCAGGGGCCGCCCAGCCCGCGGAGCCAGTGCCTGTGTCAGTCTAGTTCAGTCGGATCCCGAAGGCTGCATCCTTCCTCTTTCATGCCTCCCTGCCCCCCCAAGGTCCCTCACTCACCCCCCGACCCACAAAGAAAAAAACAAGACTATGTATGTACAAGTAGCCTAAGCCACCTTCTGGCGAAGCGGGTGAGCCGGGCCCTGCCTTGGTCTCAGGGAGGGGCAGGGCCGGGCGTGGAGATCATCAATCAGCTTGTTCTGAGCTGCTCAAAGGCCTTGGTTTGGTGGAACTTGGGATGAACAATAAGCGAGGCGTCTAAAAAAGGGGAGCGGTGACCGGTTAGGAGGGGCAGGGGAATGGAGCCCCGGGGGGCCGACATCCCTGAGGTCTGCAACAGGAATCGCGGTGGGGCAGGGTCTGAGAGGCAGGCCTCCCAGGGGGCAATGCAGAGACTGAAACCGGCCCTCCATCCACAGGCCGCCTGGGACCCTTCTGAAGACCCACTGCTGGTGAGGCAGGAGGCTCAGAGAGGTTGGGAGAGCTGCCCAGGGTCACACAGCCAAGAAGCGGTGGAGTTGGCATTTGAACCCAGACCAGCCCGGCTCCCAGGGCTAGGAAGAAGGGCCTGTGGGTGCTCTGGGCAGAGTGTAGAAGTCGCCCCTGCAGGGAAGACTGGGAGCACAGGGCCTGGCACACAGTCAGTCCTCAAGGAATGTCCGTTCCTTCCCTGCCACGTGCGGCTCTGAGGCCCACCGAGGAGCGACTCTGAAGGGTGCCTCTTCCACCCGCTTCCTCCTCTGAAGACCCAGCTTTCTCTTTGCCCTCCCCTCCTCCATCAAGCTGCCTTCCTCCAGATGCCTGAGGGCTCCTGGGAGCATGTGGGTGTGGACTGACCAGGCGTGCGGGAAGTCCGTGCGGGCTTCGGCCCCTTCCCTAAGAAGTCAAGAATATGTGTTGGAAATGCAAACGCTGAAGCCCCGAGAGGAATCTCCATCCACACATCCTGAGCGCGGATGATCTGAGAGCAGTGGCTCACGGGCATTTCTCTACGGCCCTGTGGACCCATTGCACAGACGAGGACATTAAGCCCAGACGGGGAGAGTCTGGTCCAAGATCACGTGCAGGTCAACAGCCAGGTCAGGATTCAACTCAGATCTGAATCCAACGCCCGTGTGGGCTGCTGACCATCACAGGCACCCCTCGGACCTCCTGCCGGGTCAGGTCCACATCGCTGCCAGAGAGCAGAGCGCAGTAAACCGAGGTGCGCCTGAACGCAGAACTGCTTCCCTAGGCAACCAGAGGGCACTTTAGACATCCATCCCAGGCCCTGGAGAGGTGCCACAGACACAGCAAGAAGACGTGGTCTGATCGGTTCCTTCCCCCCATCAATTCCAGGAGCACCGCTGTCTTGCCTCCAGTGACCACTTCCGGACTGTGTTGGGCTCCGACTTCTCACTGAGTCTCCTATCTATTCCTCACCACAGCCCCGTGAGGGAGGGGCTATCATTACGCCTATCCTCAAGACGAGGAGATGGAGGCTCAGAGAGGGGGAGTGACTTGCCCAGGGTCACACAGCTTCGCTAGACACCTGAGGTTTGAAGTTGAGACGGCCTCCAAAACCAGTGCTCTTTTTCTAACCACGTTTCTTGGCATTCCAGCCACAGAGCACATCTGTAATCATGTGACCCTGCAGAGCCCCTAGCCGCCGAATGGGAGGTGGGGTGTGGCGATTCCGAGCGCTCACTGGTCCTGGGGAAAGAACCCCTGGTGACCTGCGTGCAGGGATGAAGGTCTGCGCCACCTTCAGAGGCAGGGAAAGGCCACCGTCCCACCTCCTGCCCTTGAATCTCCCGAATCTCGAAGGCACGGAAGGTCTCCCTGGAGTGGAAAGTTACCCAGTCGACCAGGCGTTGGAGACACAGGGTATGCGTGTGCCCACCCATCTCATAAATCCATCATCCTTGGGGGAAAAGGAAAGAAAACATGTGCCCGAGGGATATAATTATGTTATAAACAATGTGTAATGTCGAGGATGTAAACAAAACACGCTTGTTAATAGCGATGGGCGTTCTGCCAGTTCCGAGTGCCAGACACCCGCACCCCACCACTTCCCCCCAATGGCTTACTCATTAAAGAACTTTCCCCGGTCGCCCAGAGGTGAGGCTGAGCTGCCCGAGTCTGGTTAGAAGGATGAAGAGAGAAGGGGTGAGGGTGAGCCGGGAGTGACGTCCAAGGATGGCCGTCCTAACCCCACTCAGAAATACCTGTCGCCGCATCTGCAAAAATGCCCAGGATGGGAGACTGGGGGCAGGGAACAGACCTGGGCAGGGCACGTGACTTCATCTTTCTGTGCCTCCGCTTCTTGATCTATAAAATGGGGCTAAAACCTGAAGGATGAAGAGAGAAGGGGTGAGGGTGAGCCGGGAGTGACGTCCAAGGATGGCCGTCCTAACCCCACTCAGAAATACCTGTCGCCGCATCTGCAAAAATGCCCAGGATGGGAGACTGGGGGGAGGGAACGTGACTTCATCTTTCTGTGCCTCCGTTTCTTGATCTATAAAATGGGGCTAAGATCCCCCAACAGGCAGAACTG